TATTTGCTTTTTTAGTTTACGTTTACTCTAAGGGCGTAGGAAAGATGCGGAAATGAGCCGACTAACTTCACGTCGATCTATCCGGAGAAGAAAAGAACGAATGTTCGTGAAGTTTGACACTGTTAACTTGTACTGACATATTTGAATAAAATGACGAACAAGCAACGGACGCTTTCAGTGAGAACTGCAAGCATTTGCAACCTTGTCTCGAACACAAGTCGATAAATATCGGCGTGAAAAATGTTTAGGAAGAATTTACGGAAGAACCACACGTTATTTTATTACTTCTGACGATTTTATAAGTAATTAAAAGACAACAGTGCACGGTGTACACTTATCAGGCGAATAAACTTCTCCAAAGTACACAGTAACGCAACCCGGAAGATGGTACGTCCAGAATAAATTAAATCTGATTTCAACGCAAATTGTACGTACACAAGACCTTATTTTGTTCTAGTTTTTGAGATATTTGCGCTTACAACTGAAGTCATTGTCTTTTTTGTGTTTGTGAATTAAGACGTATTGTAGTAAGATTACGTATTCATACTCTAAAAACTGGAATTTATCAACGACGCTTCTTAAAAATCAAAGTAAGTAAAGTTTGTCCCACTATACGCCATGTAGGCGTTTGGGGGGGAGTGGAGGTATAGCTCCTCTCTTCCTTGACCTCGGCACTAGATGGGGGTGAGTGGTCAGCATCACGCCCCGGCCGGCTTTACCCCCGGGAAAGGACCCCGGTACCCATTGTAGAGGAGGCTGGGTGGGCCCCAGAGCCGGTCTGGACGCAGAGGCTAGAGGAAAAATCCTCTGCCCCCGTCGGGGATCGAACCCCGGTCGTCCAGCCCGTAGCTAGTCACTATACTGACTGAGCTATCCCGGCTCATGCTTCTTAAAAATCTTAAATTCAAAATGTAATCAACATCGGTTTGTTACTTCTATACAGACGGACGAAGCTATTTCATTAGACGCCATTTAGCGCTTACAGGGAAGTGTTTTTATGCTGCTCATTTCTTGTACTGGACACCCCTTCTCGCTCATCTGCCTGCTCTACGCTGTTCAAAAAGGAATCAAAAGAAATTGGCATTCAGGATATTAGAGGCAATAAGAGGGTTTAATTTTTCGTAAATTCGTAGTCCTATAGAATTGTGATCTATAGGTCTTTTGTCAAATTGTAAACAAATTTACTGAAAATCAAGTTTCGATTACGTTAATATCGTTGAATGGAGCAGAATTATTCCTGAAAAGCCAAAAGCTCTAATCTTTTCACGAAATTTTCCGTCTTTCGTTCAAAGCGAGGAAGGCTCCTTACCGTGTTCACGAGAGAACGCAGGAAGGCATGTTGCAGCTTCGCCCTTGCCCCGTCTCAGGTACAACTTAAACAACTAAAGCATGAAATGAGGGACTTCACCCGGTGCTAATTCGAAAATGAAAATGTCAGCTCTGCTGTGAATCATCGCAGAATGTCAACGCTTTGACTAATAAGTTACAGGCACTGTGCTAACTTTCGGGTTACTTAGCATCAATATCTTGATGACTGTGTAAAGAAACACATTCCAGCCACACCTAGAATGAGAAGAAATAGGTAATCTGTGTCAGAAAGGATCCGGCTGGAGTCTGTATTGAAATTTTAAGCTCCGTGTCAGTCCCCTAAAATCGCTACAGTTGTGTAACAATCAAATGAAACAAAAGAATGTTCGCTTTTCCCACGGCCTACGCAACTAAATTCTTACGTTATGTCGCGATGATGTAGAACAATGGTAAGCCGCTGATAGGGCGTAATTTCGCATTTTCGTTAGAATTTAAAACATCGAACGCCATTTTGTGTAGACGTAGAAGAAGACTGATACGCCCCATTTAAATTAAGTTCCGTAGTCAGAGCTTGAACTCGGAAAAACTAAATTCTGTATGCAGGACGGAAAGGCGATATATTCTTTAAATACAGGAATGAAATGTGAAAACTGTTACCGAGAAGCTTAATCTTCAATGCTAGTTCTGTCACCTGATAAAATCTGCTTCTTTGAACACTTTCGTGTGCACTGACCTGGTTGTTGTTCTGCGGAAGCCATTAATTGCCTTCAACATCGTTGCAGAACGCAGAGACGCTGCGTCAAACAGAAGAAGGGTGTACGGCGCGTCCAAGTTAACGCCTAAGATATCTAGCTTCCTCTCGTAATATTTTTTAGACCTGTGATAAGGGAAGGAAAGAAAGAAAGAAAATACGAGAAGTGGCAGTGACTGGGCTCAAATCACTTGGTCGTAAGGGTGCTGTAGGTCTGAGAAAGCATTCAAATGTAGACCTTAATGACAAACAACCATATAATAGATATTAAAAGTGAAAAATATCCCGTATTTCAAGACCTTCAAGAATACCAACCAACAGGATACACGTGAAGGAATTTCCCTAAAATGATGGTACGAAAATCAGAAGAGGCTTCAACATAATCAGTGTACAACGGGAAAAGAAGGAAAGAGAAACGTGGAATGTACATGAACACGATGGAGAAGTAAGATATGATGCTTTTGTACAAAGAAAAAGACAAAACGAGTCAGATTTTAACACATTCATGAAGAACGTGTTGATCCACCCACACCTCGGGTCCAGCTCTAAGAACGGAATTGTCACTGGATACACACGGAAAATGACGTCAGGTGTGAACGTAAGCAGCTGTCAGTCAGCTGAAGTTGCTCTGCTGCGTAAGGGCCATTGAAGTTAGTGATGGCTTCTCTGCCACAGCTGGGCGTCTGTCTGCTTGTTTGTTCATTGTTGTTCCAGGTCTCTCAAGGTAAGGGAACAGTTCACAGAACGTGCAAGCAACAAACAAATCTTCGATGTTCGGGAGAGAAACATTTTCACCTAAAGACTTTGTATAAAACATGCGCATTTATATACGTAAAGACGTGGTTTTCCCACTGATTGTTAAGATAGTCAGATGAAGCAGAACGGAATGGAAGGTCCTGCACGGAGACCGAGGGCAGTAAACGGCACCAAGCACCCGAAGACAAGTGGGACAGTGGGACTGAACGTCCTGATGTTGTAGGCGTAGTGTGAGAGCTAGCTTGGATTCAGGTGGCTCAGGTAGGGGCCAGTGTAGGCTTTTATGAACACGGTAATGAAAATCGGAGTTTCATAAAATGGCTGAAATTGTGTCTAGCAATGGGTTTTAAGACAGCCCGGTGATCTGGGGTCATCAGCGCTTGTGATGACCCCCAAAAAAAAGTTTCTTGGCACGTGACGTTATTCTGTTTTTTTATTTTCCATGTTTGGTTGCGCAAATCGGACTTCGCCGTCACTTACGTGCATTGCTTACTCCGCATTAGACAGGAGTCCGACAGACAACTTGCAAAGAAACGACCCGCTGTTCTCAGAACCAGCTTAACCCACCCTAAATCAAATGTGTGCAAATACAAATGTTTAATAGCTCCGTGTTTATTACTAGTGCTGTACAGGCATCGCAGTAACCTTGGCGACAATGAACATACAATTCTGACTACTCTAGTGTAGGAAATTCCAGCACTAAATCATGACATTTCGTTTACCGGAAGAAAGGGAGTCGGCTCGAAGCGTTGTCAGTTGTATAATTATTAAGGTTGATGGAAGTCAGGTGTCCCCGGGACTCTTAAGTTGGTTCACAAGTATAATTTCATCAAGTCACTACGAAAAATATACTTAGTACAGATTTAGTTTTGCCACGTATGGTGTACAAGGGCGTCAGAGTTTTCAGGGCACGGCTCTAACCGCATGAGGTAGAATGGGCGTCCCGATGATGGAAGTAGCAAATACTCCTGAAACGTCAGTAAAGTTCTATCAGACTACACAGCGCAACAACCCAGAAGACAGAAATCTTCATACTCATCGTCCCGATGATGGAAGTAGCAAATACTCCTGAAACGTCAGTAAAGTTCTATCAGACTACACAGCGCAACAACCCAGAAGACAGAAATCTTCATACTCATCGTCCCGATGATGGAAGTAGCAAATACTCCTGAAACGTCAGTAAAGTTCTATCAGACTACACAGCGCAACAACCCAGAAGACAGAAATCTTCATACTCATCGTCCCGATGATGGAAGTAGCAAATACTCCTGAAACGTCAGTAAAGTTCTATCAGACTACACAGCGCTACAACCTAGAAGCCAGACATTTTAGAATAATACTAAATGATCACAGTTATCTCTGTAATCAAAATAACAAATTCTATCAAGGGGGTTACAACATTAGCTGCTATAAGTGATATCCAGACACCAACATTTCAAAAGCGTTCTTCATGGCACATCACATGTGTCAATCTTGAACTGAATTGGCCCCAGTTAATTGTCCGTCATATATCATTCTTCCTTCTACGGTCAAGTTTGCACCAATGCCAGCCACGATTACTTTTACCCAACAGAGTGACCAGCTCATTAGGGTTTTCTTATTCATGCTTTGGCGTGAACAACGACTCATAAGTTGACACGGGGTGTGCACTCGGGGCGGCGTAGGCTCCACAAACGAGCATCGATTCCCCGACGGGGTAGGACTTATGCCCTCACCACAACGCCCAGATCGGCTTTGGGGCCCAACCAGAGTCTCATGCAATTGTATCGAGTTCTCTCTCCTTGTAAGTGAAGCACCAGAGAAAACTTCAATTTAATAATTATTAACGCGAACACATTAGAACACACCTCCATAAATTAGGTAGGGATTTAAATCCTAAATTAATACAACAAATCGTAAATTACTAAAACAAAGTTCTGTGCATTTATTTAGTAACTTTTCGTTCCGGCAAGTTTCTCCTGCCTGCGTGGATGCGCTCGCCTTGTCAGGACAGAGATCCGTGAGCGGAAGCTAATGGGCTGTTTCGACGGATTTCTGAACACTAACGCAGGCACAATTCCCACCGTTCCGCCGTGCCCACACGCACGTATGCCATCCCGCAAATAGTTCTGTAAACATGTTGCCGCCAATATAATCACGTATGTCTGGCAAACCGTTTCCTTACATTGAATAAATCATTTTTCAGGACGTTATGAGAAAACGGATGAAGGACAGAGACCATTGGTTCTTGAAGGGTATCTCAGACGTTTGAAGCGAAGCCCTCAGGCAGAGACATCAGCCGACAGGATTGTGTTTCCCGACTCTTCTGAGGAAGACCCGCCTGATGCCGCAAGGCAACGTATGGGCCATGTCCTGCAAACCCCCGAGTGGATGAGACCAGCTGCCAGCAAGAATCCAGATTGTAATTACAAAGCTGAAAAAGTGACGGGTCAAAACAGACCCTCTCTGAAGAGCAGCAGTGGCTCATACAGCCAGGGCGCAAGCGATGGATATAAATCCTCCAGTCACCGTCATAGTTACGGTGGAAGCCAGTCAGTTACTCAGAGCGACATAAATTTATCCACCGAAACGAAACGTCAGTCCACAGGCGAAATATGCGAAGGGTGTCGTACACAGAATCCAGGAAACACAGAATTCTCGAGCAACAGTGGAAGCCATTCCGCAAGTGACGCAGTCCAAGAATCTCACAGACAATATTCTGGAAACAGCCAGATTCCCAGTAAAAGCGGAAGTCAATCCTACGGGAACAGCAAACGTCAGTCACCCATAAAGAGCGCAAGCCATTCCACCTTGAGTTGTGGAAGTCAGTCCACAAGTGATATATTTGGAGGACTTGAGGCACAATATCCTGCAAAAATTCAAACTTCCGGTAACAGCGAAAGTCAATCCTCCGGATATAATGGATATCAGTCCTTCAGAAATACTGAAGGTCAATCTTTCAGCAACACTGAAAGTCAGTTTGCAAACGACGCATTCGAAGGACTTCATTCACAATATCCTGAGAATGTTCAGACTACCAGTAACAGCGGAAGACAATCTGTCGTTAATACTGAAAGTCAATCTTCCGGCATTAGTGAAAATGGATCCTCCGGTAACAGCAAGACCCAATCCTCCAGTAATAGTGAAAGTCAATCCTCCGGTAACAGCGGAAGTCAGTCCTCCAGTAAGAGTAAAAGTCAATTCTCAAGTAAGAGTGAAAGTCAATCATTCGGTAACAGCGGAAGTCAATCCTCCAGCAATAGTGAAAGTCAATCGTCCGGCATTAATGAAGGCCAGTCAGCAAGCAACACAAATAGAGGATTTGATGCAATTTCTCCTGGAAACATCCAAAGTTCCAGTTACAGCGGAAGTCAATCCTCCAGCAATAGTGAAAGTCAATCGTCCGGCATTAATGAAGGCCAGTCAGCAAGCAACACAAATAGAGGATTTGATGCAATTTCTCCTGGAAACATCCAAAGTTCCAGTTACAGCGGAAGTCAATCCTCCAGCAATAGTGAAAGTCAATCGTCCGGCATTAATGAAGGCCAGTCAGCAAGCAACACAAATAGAGGATTTGATGCAATTTCTCCTGGAAACATCCAAAGTTCCAGTTACAGCGGAAGTCAATCCTCCAGCAATAGTGAAAGTCAATCGTCCGGCATTAATGAAGGCCAGTCAGCAAGCAACACAAATAGAGGATTTGATGCATTTTCTCCTGGAAACATCCAAAGTTCCAGTTACAGCGGAAGTCAATCTTCCAGTAAGAGTGAAAGTCAATCCTCCGGTAACAGCGGAAGTCAGTCCTCCAGTAAGAGTAAAAGTCAATTCTCAAGTAAGAGTGAAAGTCAATCCTCCGGTAACAGCGGAAGTCAGTCCTCCAGTAAGAGTAAAAGTCAATTCTCAAGTAAGAGTGAAAGTCAATCATTCGGTAACAGCGGAAGTCAATCCTCCAGCAATAGTGAAAGTCAATCGTCCGGCATTAGTGAAGGCCAGTCAACAAGCGATACAGACAGAGGATTTGATGCAATTTCTCCTGGAAACATCCAAAGTTCCAGTTACAGCGGAAGTCAATCCTCCAGCAATAGTGAAAGTCAATCGTCCGGCATTAGTGAAGGCCAGTCAACAAGCGATACAGACAGAGGATTTGATGCAATTTCTCCTGGAAACATCCAAAGTTCCAGTTACAGCGGAAGTCAATCCTCCAGCAATAGTGAAAGTCAATCGTCTGGCATTAGTGAAGGCCAATCCTCCGGTAACGGTGAAAGTTCATTCCCCAATAATATTGAAGGTCAATCCTCCAGCGAGAGTGAAAGTCAATCGTCTTCCAGTAGAACTGGGCCGACATCTTTCTCTGTACGGTGTTTTTTTGGACTCTGTTACCAACAGTTTCCTGGGTACATCCAATCCCATAATTATGTAAACAGCAATGAGCAAGCTTTCTCACGTGGCAGAAGCCACGCGTCCAGCGTGGGTGGAGATATCGGCTATATTCATTCGGTTCTTCCATTCGATGACAGCGAGTCTTCCGATGCCAATGCCAACGAAGGATTTACAGATCGTTCTAGGTGGACTGCTGGGACGTCTCTACCTGTTTTCTCCTCCCCAGAAAACTCTTACCGGGCGGTCGGTGCATATTTTGAAAACCGATTTCCTTTATTTTCTGTGGCGGGGTTTCCACGGTATTCAAACAGTTGGTCTCAGAGCTCGTCACACAGCGGATCATTTTCTGAAAGCTCCAGCTCCAGTTCCAGTTCCGGTAGCACCAGCATCACTGGTGGTGCAGAACCATGCATTGGGTCTTGGACAAAGCAATTCACCACCATTGGTGCGCCGTGTAACGAAAACGGGCCTGAATAACAATGCACTGAACCAACTGTAGCATCTAGCCTGCAGCTAACGAAATGTGGTCAATTAAAGCGCATTTGTGAACGAACTGTCTTATTTCGCTGTTCTTAATCACGTAAAGGTGTTCCATCAATCCAGTCTGGCAGTAGGCTACCGCCGGCGTCCAATTAATTACGTTAATTCCTGACGTGCTATCAGACGCCCAGAGGCACAATCTCACATCTACCAAACCCATACTCTGAACACGATCGCACTACAATGGTCCATGTCTCTCAGTATATCGCAACGTTACAATAAAGTTTTGAGAGAATGTCTCGTTCACTGGAACAAGTCAAAGGCCCCCAAAATCACCCCATTTACTGTTCTTGGTAACTTCCATTACCAAAAGGCTGAAATAACGACGTTTGCTTAACCAATCTGCAACCTACCTATCCGAACTTTGGATAACTCGAATAACCCAAAGTTCTTTTTTGCCATGTCGAGAGAGATCTGCCTTCCCTTCAGCAAAGATAATCTGCGTGCGGTGCAATGTCATGTTACTCAAACCCAAACCAAGGTCTGACCGTTCTCGACATAACTTAGTTCGTTCGGAGAATGATCTTGTCTACGATTTTCACTGTGACTGCCTCCTGCAAACGTCCTTCGCTCGGCCTCTAAACATTTCTTAAAGGAATCTGTCAGAAAAGATGGTGTCAGGACTTACTGTCTCATAAATATTAAATTTATTAAATAACATTCATTTTATCGCCTTTATGTAACACAAATTGCAATGAAGTCATTGCAAAGTATGCAATATCTGTATCTGACCTGGTTCACCAAACTTTATCCAATCATTAAATATTGAAACTCGTAATTTGAATTTTCGGAATAACTTATACCAAAGGGTTAAATTAATTTAAATACACCCGTTTCCGATAATAAAGGTTGGGTACAAGACACGGGAAGTGTTTATCTGTGACAGGAAACATCCGGAGACGCCTAGGTTAGGTTAGGTTTCAACATGATAGATTTCATCCCGCACTTTGAAAGAAACAAATGCTCTGTACTGCAGAGTGGCGAGTACATTGTTGGGCGTGGCCTTTCGCCACGGAGACCTCCAATTTTCCCTAGCCAGAATCCTTTCTGTGAGGATTTACTTTTGAAAGAGTCTATTAGAACCCAAGAAGCTCGCAGGAACAACCACTGGAAGCTTTTCTATGTGTGTTTATGGAAATATTAATCAAGTGTAAAATGTCATTTTCTCGTGAACACTTTTCAAGGTTCGTAACTTTATTATTTTGTTACACGACAACAAATGTAAATAATGCAAAGAAGTCAGTACATTCAGGAAGGACACTAATACAAAATCAAATTTATTAATACCAGCAAGAACGAGGCATTAATCCTTACAGTACGAAGCTCAATTATGCCGACAGAACCAGAATCACTTTTATCAATCCGCCATTTTGAACTGTGTCATGTGACTGCCCCCTGCTAGTAGCAGAGAAGGCTGCACCTTCGTTGACATGTAAGTTACCAGAAATTTCCGAAATGAATACAGCTTTTTTCAAAATGGTTAATCAAGGGCTCTGTACAGTTTTGCCTAGAGATCAGCTCTCACAAGATGGACGCCCTACTGCAAAGCCCCAAGGGATGTTGGTCAGATTTAAAGTATTCAGCACTAAGATGCATGGTCACGTATTAGTCGTCTAACATCGGCTCCAACACTTTATAAGAAAAATCACATATATTTTAATGATATTAAAAGTGACGTAGAAAAACAATTCATGAAATGAAATAAATAATATGATCAATGGCGACAGTTCTCAGCAGTGAATCTAAAAACATTGTCCAGACTACACAAATTCACTGTTTTGAATAACAAATAAATAAAATGTACACCTGAAATATGTGTCATAATTCATTCGGTGTATCACACAGTCAAAAACAAAACCTTGTTCCACGCGCGTTTTGTTTTATAGCTTGCCTAGTCTAACGCCCTCAAGGTCTGTGCTTACGCTAGGCTTTGTTTGTTTTGACCGTAGGACGCTCGTTTAAGTTCCTTTTCATGTTCTTTGTGAGCCTGCGTTCGATTACAAGGAGTTGGTCACTACTGAGACTGCAGAATCCACAGCACGTGGAGAGTAAACTCGGTTTTATTGTTGTCATGACCTGTTGTTCCAGCGAAATGAGTCCGGGACACACGTCGGACAGAAGTTACTCAGCGATGGAATTCGGTTGAACCTAAAAGAGAAGGAACAGACATTAATGTCTGCAGGCTGTGAACGAGATATTCCGTTGCGACATTGTTTCCGCTTATCGATTTGTTAACGTTCTCTAAGATTATCCCTTGACCTCGTAACAAAGTTGACTATGGAAGTTCACTGTGTTTCATGGAGCTACAATAACAAAAGAAAATCTATTCGTTCTCGAAATATAAATCTGCACAAACTGTTGCCGATTAGCACTCCAGAGAGTCACAGAATTTTTGTGTCAGTGAGTTTCGTTAAATATACACAGAGCGTCGAACAATTATTCAAATACAAGTTGAGTATTCTAATGAAACGAATCTTTCATGCAAAGTATCTGATTATCTTATTCGCTGACTGTTAAGGTTTCTTGATCATTAAACATTGCAACAGATCGATATTCGCCGAAATCAAAAACAGCCCTACAATTTATATTGTCGAACAGAACACTGAATTTGTAACTCAATAATCAAATGTTTCTTGTGTCCTATGGAAAGCGGCTGGATATTTACTTCTGTCTGATAGCTACTGTTGAGAAAACGTGAACCTTTCCCTATATCACACCATCCGGGACCTTCATAGCGCTGTACAGGCGCCAGGACCTTCGTTATTCCTTCTAATTCCACAGGGAAAACAATCTCAAATTTTACATGATTCGTCTGTGCAGCGCAGCCGACATTAAAAAATTGATAGGCAGTGTCGGACACTGCCGCAGTTATTTTCGTGAAAACGTCAATCGTGTATAGTATTTTGTGCTCTACGCATTCGTGTCCGATTTTTGTAATTCTGGTTTTACTTTGCCCTCATATATCGCGACATTTTAAGAAAATCGGGAAATTGTCAAACTTTTTCAAATTCACAGCCTCGCATCTTTTTGAGTTTTTGAGATACACACTTGGAGGCCAGGATGAGTTGTTTAAAAGAACACTTGGTTCACTCGGATCGGATAATTAGTCTCTGAGATATGATCCCGTTTATGGACACGTGTCGAATCCGGAAAGTGGAAAATCGTGGGTTCACTTTGCGCGTGCGCAGTTCGCGACGTCCGGCCGCGACGAATGTCGGAGCGCTACTGGCACAAACATTCATCCTTCCTCTTTGAAACGAGACTAAGATGGCGGCGCTATGTCTATTTTTAGCCGAGTTATTGAAGTTTAAAATTACTTCGACAGAAACTGTCGCTCATTTGGGCGCTATTGCCTCCCACACCCGGCATCGATTTTAAAGACGTTTTCACGTCAAAAATCCAACCGAACAGCTGGGTTATCCAACAGAAAGACAGTTAATCTGATTTCGCTCCCCATTCTGAATTTCGCGCCTAACCTAACGAACCTACTGTATCAGCACAAAGCTAGGATGTGCTTGTTTCAAGAAGAATTGGCTGCTGATTCGTGTTCCACTTTTGTGAGTGACCAATCTGCGCAAACTCTTCTGGAAGGAACTTCTGTTAACTAGTTCCGAGCGGTTAACTGGTCAGACCCTTCACTTCTTAGTTTAATGCGGTCCTGACTCCAGTCAGCAGACCTCCTTTGCGCTGACTTGTCACTCACAAATCAGCCGCCAATCCAAGTTAAGAACACTATAGCTAAAAACATTATAGTTTGTGTGTAACCTCAGACGTCACTTCGCAGCAGCTGGTGTGACGACAGATGCAAGTGAATTCTGAATGGTCTAAGTGAACCTTAATTGTACTTACTCAGGTAAGGAAGATTTCTTTTGTCCGTCCATCTCGTTTCTAACAGGACTGAAGCTGCCCCCTTTCGGACGAGGTTCGAAATTCTTTCCCTCGTTCAGAATGTCTTCCAGTTTGACTGCCTTATCCTCCGATTTATCAGCGACCAGTAAGCTGTTACGACTCTCTGGTACGCCTCTGTGAACTTGTGTGCTGTCTCTCTGTGATGGGGCGCCTGAAATAAAACAAACACTTTCTTTTGTCTCGTGCACAAGTGGGACAAAGCTTACTCAGCTTGGTATTCCCGTAGCATTGTCTGCGCACAGCAGCGCAGAATACGAAATACATTCTTATTTGTAACCAAGTATTAGAGACGCCAGACATGAACGGATTTATACTTCTTTCGGAGAACATCAGTGCGTCTGTCAACAGAGATAACGCAAGTTGCAGGCTGTGGCAGGGAGTCGTCAGTTCGATACCCGACAGTATCTTCCGTACTGCTCACGTACATTTTTATAACAGTGTATTGCCCGGGACCATGGAAAGAGTTAACCCTCCTTGCATGTATTTCACTTAAAATAGTCAACAGAGACGACAGATTAACAAATTCATTAAGGGATTGAGTAACACGTGAACCTATTTGCAATTTCAATTGCTACGTTTTAATAAAATACCACTAAGCTCTAATAAATTGTCCACATTCATAAACCGGCGGCCAGCGTTTCGGTAAGAATGGGTGAATCTGGCCTCCGGTGTTAAAAGATTGAGACCCCTGACCTAGTGAACGGACATGTTTGCTGCTCGTTACTTTCAGGTTGACGACGTTTTTCAACTGGCGAAGTCATACAACGCTGAATGCGGAAGAAGCACGTATTCTGTTGCAGGGACCGAGCGGTGGTTTCTGCCTTCGTCAGGACGAACAAACCTGCCAGGTCTCTGCTGAAGGAACTCAATGAAGCGTCCGGGAAAGTACCGGTTTGTCGTGATCACAGCGATTTGAAGAAAACGTAAAATAAGAGTAACAGAAGTCTCCTCCATTCTTCGCTGGATTTTGAAATCAATTTCCGTCAACATAAATTACTGTCTGATGTCTAACTAGGAGTTTGTTTAAGGTTGAAGCGAAAATAAAATAAGCTCTTCAAGTAAGAACCAGCAGTCAACTTGACCTCTAGAGTCTGATAGTGTTTTTCTTAATAATATATCTGAACAGCTAGAATTATTATTACAACTTAGCCATGAAAGTATAGGTAATTATTCCTTTTCAACGCAGTGCTCAGTACGTACCATGTATCGCCGCCAGACACACCAGCAGACATGCGGTAACAGCTGTAACGCCCATGACAAGTTCTAGTAGTCACTGATGTCTATCGTCTGATTAACAGCGCTTTTATGTGCTTGGGGGAACAGGAGGGGCTTTACGTCAGTCATCTTTGAATGGCCCTCTGTTCTGCACATTATCATGCTCCGTTGCGTTGCATAACACTGATACGACCACTGAATTGTGAATGGCTTTTCTCGGAAATGAATAAGGTTTTAAAACCAACCTGGTACAGATAACGTAAAGAAGGACTTACCTCCTGCTGAGAATGTTCTTGGTGGGCTTCAGACATACGTCATCTGTTGGTACGAGGACTTTCCATCGTGACTTGTAACATCGTACACAATACAATAGCAGATAAGTCAGCCAGTTTTATCTTTCTTAAGAAAAGCAGAGCGCTGATTCATCGAGAAGGTCCGTGTTTAGGTGGTCCTCTGAACTTTTATTTGGATAGTACGCGGTAAACTCCCGTCGGTCCCTTTAAGACAAGTCATGATCGCTTCTTTCCAAACCCTTCCCTTTTAAGCTAATCGGAACATATTCCTGTACCACGTGACTATAGATTTCCTGTGTAGGTGAAACAGCGTGTTTCCATAGCCAATGTAGTGACTGAACGCCGATGTTCGTGAGCGGGCAACACGCTCACTGCAGCGGAATCGTCTGTCCAGACACGACTAATTCTTATTAGAATCTCAAGGACTTAACGAACTACACTCAGCAGAGTACTTTTTGAAAAGCTGATAGGCGCTCAGCTGGCGAAGAAATTCCTCGCATTTTATGGAACCAGAAGCCTTATGATGATCTTTTTGAATCCGATTTACACACCAAAACCGTAGTTCCCCATGATAAATTTTAATATTATTCTCCTACCAATGACCAGTTTTGATTTCAGTATCCTAGTAATATTTGGTGTGGAGTACAAATTGTGATGCTTCGCTTTTTCGCAGTTTTCTTCAGGACGCAGTTACGCGAACCCTCAGGGGCCCAAGAAACCTTATCACCCTGCTCTCACTCGTCCTTAATTTGTGTCGTCTGCTTAAATGTGGCCGAACGGATCTCACACCCGCAGAAAACAAGAAGCTGAGGGCACATTCGAGGCTTTGCGTCTTCAGACATTAGAATATAAATTAAAAGGTTCTGAAGTTCATGGCGCCAATCGTTGGCCGAATTTAGTCTGCTCTCAATTCCCTCCTGATTTGTTACGGTTTCTCGATACTTCCTAATGACGTATTCTAAAGGAATTTTGGAAACTAATGGTGACAAAGCATCTTCTTGTTTCAGGCCAGTCTTAACAGGAAATGCCTCAGGCAACATTTATCATATATAGCTTCTGGTACAGGTCTGAATTGAACACTTTATTAACCTAACGAGTCTAACTGGAAAACAAAACAAAAAAAATAGGATGCTGTGTGATATTTCATGAATCGTGACGCAGCACCTCAACATTGGTGCAAAACCGGAAGCCGTTACTGAACATTGCCAGTTTTATCCACTCCTCAGAAGGTATCTGCTTCCTTAACACCGATCTTAATTTTGTATTTCCGTTTCATTCCCACTTTTCGACCAGACGTTTTTCAACATATTTTCCCCCCAGAAGACTCGGGATACATTTCCGGTTTCCCCATTCTTACTAGCCGACAAGCGTTCTGATTTCTGTGCACAGACGACAACATTGAAGTACTCAGGCTCGCGATGTCCGAAGCTGCTCACACACTTACTTCAAGTCCTTCCGAACTGTCCTTAAAACCGTAATTCCCTTCAAAGTTGAGCAAGGCCGTGTTGCCGAGGACACGCGGCGAAAAGTCCTTGCTGCCGTCTTCACGGAAAATCGACGGTGTTCGCTGCAGGAATCAGGAATTGGAACAGTCTCGGTTAGGACGGCGTCGATGTTTGTCTCCTGAACGAGATGCACTTGAGTCGGGTCTGACCCTGAGGTTTGAGAAGTATATTTGCCCAGGAAAGGCCGCCCGCCACGTTAAGCTAGCGAATGACATGGCACTCGAAGTCACAGACCTGTAGTCCGTCGCTTGTCGTCGGCTATCTGAAGGCCTATCTCAGTAGACCGGAGCTCCGGCTACGGCCTTGGAGGATTACTAGCAACTAACACCATCCACAAAGAATTATAATAATTGACCCTAATCTTTCTGTAACATGTGAAATGGGATGGTGTGACCCTCTGCAAGCATTTCTGGCATGTCAGCGCCTTGCAACAAGACATCACGCTGTTCTTCCGGCAGAGGATCAGACAAGCGATGAGTTCTGTGCAGAACGTCTACGAAATGCAAATTGCTGTACCGATCTCCTGTCGCGGATGTGAATTACAGTAACTTGCATCAGATACATGCCCGATGGAATATTCTGGGAAACCGTTATCCTTGTGACGTATTTGGAATCTGCAATAAAATTATCAGGCAAGGAAAAGATAAGAATTGTTTGGCGCCGTTCAAGTGTCACGTTACGGATCCGAATGTAGACACAAGAACACTAAGCGCTGTTATTCATAACTGTTTCAGGAAGCAGGTGAAACTTCGCAAAAAGAAAAATCCAGCTTCATGATGCGGCATTCTTCTTGAGAAGGTTACTAAGCAAGTCAATAAACGGTATCGAAAATTTTCAACAGCATTTCCGTGTTCACACCACTCCGTCTGCTGCCCTCCTTCTGTAAACACATTCCTCATATTCGCCTATATTTAAGATTAATTTTATTACTTTCCTCTCATCTGGAATTCATGGGATTTGATCTACAGAAATTTCTGATTTACAAATTTTGAAGTATAATGTGCAAAAAACGGCGACAAAATTTTGCTGAACGTTTCACCATATAAAAGCAATTATTGAAACATCTACTAAAATGTTGAGGACAATATTATAAAACCTGTTAGACTGTTTGCTGAATATGTGCGTAACGCACAGACGAAACGTGTAGGTTGAAATGAATACTTAATTTGTATTTGGTGGTTTATTTTCAAGATAATATCCGCAATGGTACATAAGCACATAGGTCTCAACCAAAGAAGGTAAAAAGATCAGACTTACTAGAAATAAGATCTTAATGAAAGAAATAAGTCAGCAGCGGAGCTCTGAATCCACGTAATATTAATACTTTAGTACACACAAAAAGTTCATTTACTGTTCCCCACGTAAAACCCACTGAAACTATTTGTGTGCGTGGAGAGGTTCTCGAACCATAGACTGTGAATTTCAGATCGTCTCAATAAACAGTGCCTGACACGGTTTTCCATTGTGTGCTGCCCTTGTACCGCTTTGCGAACCTGGTCGGCTGCCTAGGCCTTCGTTGTCCTTCGGTCTCAGGAAGCTCGAAGTGTCTGCCCGACATTGCTTGTACCAAAGACATGAAACTGTCTGAACTCGTCAGGTGGAGGTGAGAGAGGGGGCGGTGGCCGGAATCCGACGTCGTCATCGCGTCTTCATAGCGATTTGGACTGTTTTCGAGAAGATCCGCATCCTTCATCGTCATGAAGAATACCGGTGGAATGATCCCCACGTCGTCAGGACTTGTCTCCTCTCTGCCTCCATAACCTCAAAAAACAAAATAAGACACTAACTCTACTGCGCCATGCTCAGTGTCAGGAACAAGCCAACATACCAAAACAGCCAGGGAGGAACACTGGGCGCCGGAATGGCAGTCAGCCAGCTCGTCAGCACACAGCCAGGTGGCCAGTCAGACAGCCAACAGCCGTTCTGGCAGCCAGACAGACAGCAGGGCAATCAGCAGTCAAGTTACAAACCACTTTTTGTCAGAAAGATAGCCAGGCTGGAAGCTAGCCTCCCAGTCAGGAAGAAAAAAAACAACACCAAAAAACAGCCACCTACCTAGGCAAACAGAAATCCAGCGAGACACACAGTATTGACAATTTTATCCAAGTTTGAAAACATTCAGATTTTTTATTCATTTTCGAACAATTGGTCAGAGACCAAGACGGACAGAGACATTGAAGGTCACAAACCGAGTCCTGCTGAGGCCGGTTGTTGCAGAAATCGAGGCAGTCAGCAACCGGGTGAGGTAGAGGCCGAGTCCGGCGGAGACAGGATGTGGAATTCACCGAGGCTGGCATACACCCCTTGGGGAGAGTTTTGAAAAAAGTTGAAACTTTTGAAAAGCTTCGAAAATTAAAAAAATGTTGGAAATTATTTGAAAAGCGCACAAAAAGATTTAAATTTTAAAAAAAATTGAAAGTGAAATTTTCAAATTTATTGACGTAAATACGTCTATATGGAAGGGTCATTCCGCAAAGAAGTGTAACGAAAATGTGTAAGACGGTTACCTAGGAAATATCAACAATTTGTAAATATGGACTGACAACAATAGTCAGCCTGCATGCATTGTTATGTTACCTAGGAAATGTCATCTGTTTACTCTGCATTGTTGTGTTACATTACTACAATCAACAATCCGCTTTCTTTATTGCGGAAAGGGCTGAGCTGTGAATCGCTTGTAGAAGAAGTGCGTTGTCGATTAGATAATTTTGTGCTGGTAAAAACGTTTTTCAATATCACAAGTACTTATCTTATATAAGAATTATTAAGAAATCTATTGTTGCGTTAGTTTGTCGCGTCATACTATGTACAATATATACACACCTATTGATGATTGTAAGGGATTTATTGTGAGTCATTTGAGAAATTATACAAAGATGTTTTCAGTTATGGCCACAGAAGATCCTAATACAATGCCGATAATATTGACAGGAGATTTTAACATTGATTTAAAGAAGGAGGAAAATCAAAGCTTTGTCACATTTATGGAGGAAACGTTTGGCTTAATGTTGATGTCAAATCCT